CACACACACACACACACACACACACACACACACATACACACACACACACACACCCCTCACACGCACACACGGGGGTGCCAATGAGTGGCTGTCTGCCCCATCCTCGGCTGTCTGAACCTGGCTGGTGACGAGGTTAGTAAAGAACACAGGATTGAATGAGATTGAAGTTGAGTCAAATAGTCGACACCAAAGCTTGTGAGGCGCTGTCGATCGCGTGACGATGTTTCTGTGTCGGATTAAGCGCGTAATAGGCTGGGGACAGGTAAAGATGATCTCGAAGTTTGAAGAAGCCTAAGACCCTAATATAACCCTGAAATTTTCTTTGGGCTTTTGAAGAACGAGAAAAATTGTTAGAATTTTATGAAAGAGTTTCGGGAGCAAGAATGCATGCTAGTTATATACGACCAGGGGGAGTTGCACAAGATTTACCCTTGGGTTTAAGCGAAGATCTTTTTCTATTTTCACAGCAATTTGCTTCTCGTATAGACGAAGTAGAAATGTTAACAAACAATCGTATTTGGAAACACCGACTTGTAGATATTGGTACTGTTACTGCACAACAGGCTATGGATTGGGCTTTACCTTTTATTAACACTTCATACGTACGAAGTTCAACTTTTAGACCCATTCGTCAAAAACGTTTTTGGTTACTTGTGGCAGATTGTTTACTTTTAGGCTGGATTGGATGTCAACCTGTGGAAGCACCCTATGTAACTATTGGACAAATTGCATCAGGTTTTTTTTTCTTATATTTTGGCAATTACGCCCTTTCTTGGTAAACTAGAAGCAAAACTTATCAAAAATCAGCTGGGGTAAGCTGCCAGCTTAGGCCGGAAAGAACTCGAGCTGGTGGGTATAGAGTTACGGAATCCATTGTATGGAAATACCATCCAGCACTTGCTCCTGACATGTCCCTGACATGTCCCTGATATGTCCCTGTAAATGACTCACACTCCTCCCTGACATAGAGTAATTGCAGGGGCATATCAGAAAAAAAGCAACTATCACTTTGAACATGGCCGATGTGCAAAGGAGACTGTTGATTCTGAAATGGGAACGAAGCCTACGGAAAATTTCAAATAGGACCGCATGCAATGTACCATTGGGACACTTTCGAAATTGGAATGATATTCTGTAGTTGTCTGCATGCAGTACTTACCATTGGGAATGATATTCAAAAGTTGTCGGCATGCAATGTATCATTGGGCGTGATATTCAAAAGTTGTCTGCATGCAATGTAGCATTGGGCATGATATTCAAAAGTTGTCCACATGCGATGTACCGTTGGGACGCTTTGGAAATTGAAATTTGAATGATAAATTGATAATACCTTTCTTGTCATTTTGGGCTTTCGGCAAAGGAACGAGAGGTCATGGATGGGGCGATGAAGCTTGATGAAATTCGGTAGCATTTTGATGAATGTGTAATGACCGGAGTTAGTATCTGCAGGTTTTAAACGTTTATTGACAGTGTCTTCGTTTTTTAACTTTTTTTGAAATGAAAGGTTTTAAACCACTAGTACCTTTGGCGCGTGGGAAAATAGTGGCCTTCGTTTCTTTGGGCCCCTGAACTCGAAAACCCTAGTCGTATACAAGACCAGATGCATCGAGTGAATTTTTTGTACGAGCAAGGCTGCTGAAACAGAGTGTAACATGTTCAATGAAACGTACTTGTTCTTTCAAGCAATACTGTACGGATCTGGCCTTGTATATGACTAGATACTTGAACGGATCTGGTCTTGTATAGGACCAGATACTGCTTAAACACTGCCTAAATAGCGTCAGAATAACATGTTCAATGAAACGTACTGGACGGATATGGCCTCGTAACTTGGGCTGATAGCCGCATGGGCCGTATATTTAGAGAGCCAGAGCATATGAGTATTCCTTTGTAGACAACTTATAATGTACTATATGCACACAGACAGCCACACTATATGAAAAATGAAAAATGTCAGAGAGAACTAGTATTCAATGAAAAATGTACTATATGCTTTGTAGATATTTACCGATAACTCTTGTGTTCTTGATTTTTGTTTCTTATCATTTTGTCTGCTGTCCAATTTGTGCATTGTCTGACCTTTTCCTGTGCCTCTCTTTTGCGTCTAGGTGAGATGTACCAAACAGTTAGTGCCTGTTTGTTTGGAGTGCCTGCAGCACTATTCGGGGGGCAGCCATGTTCGGGGACGCTTGTGAATGCTGTCAGTGTGTTTGTTAGGTAATGAAAGACGTCCATTAAACCCACCAGTACTAAAGCCGTGCCCGTTAACGATTTTAGGAAAAGTACTGGCCACTACAGGAGCGGCGGAATTCATGCAACTAGAAGCAGCATTTGTACTCTTATGTTTTTCCTTGCTGCCGTGTTGCCTGCGGCTGCTGATTATCAAACTTCAGCTTCTATCCAGTATGGATTCGGTTTGCGACTTCGACCTTGGACAATCACTCTTCTTTTCAGAAAATTTTCCTTGTAGCGTTAAATAAACATTTGGTGCAATAAACGTTGCTTCCTTGATGCTGACTTTAGCGTTTTGCTGCCAACCCACGTTCTTGGTGCCCTCTGGCCCATGTGCCTTGCTGCTGCTTGCTGTTCGCTTCATTGTTGCCTTTTTTGAAGTTTTCCATGCTGCCCATATTGCTGCTCGGCTGCTTGCCTTGTTGTTCAGTGTCTTGCTGCCTCCGCCCCACCCTCTGGTGAATCATGTGCCTCGACGTAGCTTGTCGTCCGGTGCGTTGGTGCCCCGCGCTCACCTTGCTGCCTGTGATGTCTCTCCTTCTAGGCCTCCACTTACCCAACAGGGTTGAAGGAGATCAAGAATCAAAATCATCGATATCATGGGGATCCTGAAGATTGTTGAGGCTTCAGCCCACTGATGGATGAGTTCTTGCGAAGTCCAATGGAACAGTATGTCATGATTCTTGTTGCTCTTCTTTTTTGCTTTTCCCGGTGCCGATCAGATCCTCTGCGTGCTTTCTTTATGGTGCCATTTTGGGCCCACCTTCATGTACCGCCGTGGGCCCACTGTTGTTGCGGATTTGTTTCCAACGCCTTTGCACACTGCTCGGCGTAAACCATCAGTACACGGCCCCAGCCTTGCAGTCCGAAACTTGTGGCCACAAGAAAACGAGGTCGAAACTCGATTGTGGAGTTGTGTTGTCTCTTTGATCCTAACATCATCGAATATTCGTTGAATTTACAGCCCAAAAACATTAGACTGTTATTGAACCACCTTATATCGCTTTTTATGAGACCCCTTTGGTATCTCCAAAACTTGCACACATCATGCCAATAATTGACAAAGTTGTTCATTTTGATATGTGGCGTATTTAATTTTGTAACATTCTCCTCCCTAGTGCGGTTTCTTGGGAAACAAGGAAGGAACCTCGCACATCACATGGTCCAGGCTACCGTCTTCCCCCGAACACAACGCACCCTTGTTTTGGGAGTATCTGGCCGGAAATATAGCTTGTATACGTTCATTTGTAGGGTGCATTATGTTCGGGGGAAGACGGTAGGGTAAGGACCCCTATGAAATATTTTCTCTACTTAGAATGCCCCTTGTAGTTCTTGCGCCACAAGAATTAGATCAATACGAGACTTCGTATTTTGTCTTGACTCGACTCTCCCTAAAACAGGTATTGATGTGGGGTTACGCCTTCCGTATGAGTCGAAGAGATTTAGGGTGTGGCAAGATTTAGGGTGTGCCATAAATTAGCTACTATTATTTCATCTGACTGGACATTGGCAGGGCAGGGGGATGGGACGTGGCACCGGTCGGGATAACGGTCCGGAGATGCCTTCAAATTCCTTTGCAATGGTGATTGTGAGAGTCCTACTGTGAGGCGTGGGAGGGAGAATGTTCTGGAAAAATTACTTGATGGTCGGTAGTGTCATTGGTTCCTTCATAAATAAAATACTGACAATTTCTGATTCAAGCTTGCTAAGATGTAAACCCATCTACCCTGCTCCGAATCCGCCTCCTTGTTAATCATTTCCACTGTGGAGTTGGGGGGTTCCTAGATGGTGACACGTGGACTACCTGCTTGCCGTGAGGGTACCTTGGCACAAGAGACGAATCTAGATGGGTTATAAATAGAGATGCATAAAAGAATATCAATCTCGATTTTCTTCTCTTCTACACAAACACTTCGAAATTCAAATTTAGAAGAAGATCCTCTTTGCTATTGGGACTTAGCACCAGAGTTCAAATTCTGTTCTACTGGATTCTTTTCTGCCTGGATGTACCTGGTGTCAAGCTAGGTCCATGTACACTTCACAAATGCCGGACCCCAGGAACAACAAATTTTGATGAGTTTTCGGCCAAAAAGCTCGGTTTCAATTTCGTTCAAAAAATAAAAAAATGTCCATTTTGACGAAATGGTTGTTGCAAGAGCGAGTGCCATCGAACGT